CTTTGTCCTCTTTGCCACCCTAATTTGTGTGTTTGTCTTAATGCACTCAATTACTTTGCAATTATTGGCCCATGTGTAGCTTATAATTTGCAAATAGATATGCTTGCTTGCAAATGCTCACATTATTGCTGGACAGTTGTTTTAGAATCATTTGGTTCTCTCGAGCTGATGTGTAAGCATTATTAATTCTAATATGAATTAAGTAGACTTAAAGAAATTCAGGGAGAAACTATTTCTTCAGATTTATTTTTCTGCTCTTTTCAAGGTCAGTAAAATAAATTCTATGAAATTGAATGTTTTAAAAACACTTTGCAATGAAATTTATTGTTCGTTGATGAGAAGTAAGTTCTCCAGCATTTGGAAGTCTGAACACTCTTAAACATTTGGGGTTTAAAGTAGGCATAAACCTGTAGAAACCCAAGGATTCACTGGCTAAATGTATCGAGCTAAGTTTATTTTTTTTAAATAATGGGAAGCTATGAAGAATCTGTTACAGTAGGAGACTAACCCAAGGTCTCCTTTTTGTTTTGGAGAGTGAGCCCCAGGTTTTATCCTCCCTATTTCTGAATAATTTACTCTCCTGGATGGCTTCTGAGTGAAACAGAAGCTAAGAATGAGTATCTTTTCACCTGAAACAAATACTATGCTTAAGAGCTAACAGAGTCCCATTGGATATGTGTTCCCCAAAGTTTTTAAGGACATATTGGTTGAGATCTCAGTCCTTCCCACTGATGCTTCCTGGTGATGTTTAGGTTTAATAAAACATAAGTAAACATCTTCAAGATATGGATTATTGCAATGTAAGTATAGCTGACTTATTTTGCACATTAAGTTAGGGTTTAGGGGGGAATGATCATATTTTTAGGCTGTGCTTGTATGGACCTATGTACTATAATCTAGGTTTTAAACCCTTTATTTTTATGAACTCACGTTTATTAAATATAGGGCCCTCCAGAAACTAATAACTTGTAATGTGCCATGTAACTTGAATTTGAGATGAAAAGTGGCAACACATTTTGGTCGGTTGATTAATTTATTTATTCAACTCAAGAAATGCATACAGAGCACCTACTGTGTACCGAAGTGCTTGGGTTACATTATGAATAAAATAGAGAAATGGTCTCACTGTGTGTGTGCACACACACACACACATTAAATAAATAATTGAGTATGTTAGAAGGTGAAAAGTGCCATGGAGACTAGGAAAAGTAGAACAAGTTAAGAGGATCTCTTAATTTATTTTTTATTTTTCATTTTCTTTTCAATTTTTTTAAATTGAAGTACAGTCAGTTACAATGTGTCAATTTCTGGTATACAGCACAATGTCTCAGTCATGCATATGCATACATATATTTGTTTTCATATTCTGCTTAATTTAAAATTAAGTGCTTTTTCCCTCCTAAATGTGGGAGGGTAATGGAACTCAGACATGAAATAGAGTAAGATATTAGTAAGTGACTGTGGTGGTATTGCCATGAGAGGAGGTAACAAACACAACATTAGGTTCTTTTTTAAGGTTTCCTTCAGGAGTTGCTTTAAAGTAGACTTCTCATTAACCACTAAATTGAATGTTTTCCCAGTAGGCAATTTGCCCCAAATACTAAATTAGTGGGCAAACCACTAAAACAACTCTGTCATTTAAGATTTTTAAAGCAAAGGAATTTCTAGATGGGATGTAGAGTACTTTTCTATTTTTTAATTGTTGCTTTTTTTTCCTGCCAGAAACAGAAGGTAGTATTTAAGAATGTGTCGGTGGAGGTAAAATTTTAGTTTAGGATATTGAATCCCCAGCAAGAGACTTCAGAAGAATTTCCTGGTTGCCTCAACAAAACCCTTATCTTCCATGGGGAATAGTTAAACACTAATAAAAGTAAAGGAATTAAAAGCAAGGAAAAATCTAGTTATTGTCATCCCAACAAGTGAGTTTCACACGGAAACTAATAACGAAGGACTTTGCCAAATTTGGCTGCTTTAAGAGCCTGCCTGCATTGGCCTCTGCAAAAATATGACTTGCATTCAAGTTTCAATGAAAATGCTTAATAGTACTAAATGTCAGTCTGATGGGCTCTTCTAAAATGTACTGTCTGCCAGTAGTATAGTGTGTTGCCTGTACACACTTCATAAGGTTTCTCTCAACTCGTTTAGTTATATAATCAGACAAGCAGTGGTCTGAGAACAGGTCATGCCCTCTGTCCATGCAGAA